GGGACACACTTTACTGAAGGTTAAAAACGGATGCTCGTTGGAAGTAGCGAGAAATCGTGTTGTCTGTTCGAAATAACACGCGAAGGATGCACTTCCTCGAGACACCCACGCTCTCGCTCGCGATAATAATCATCGCTATCTCTTGACAATATCCTTTGTAGAGCGAGATGTCGTGTCCGACAAGGCGGATCCATCGTCACGTGGCACGTTGCACTTGGTCGTGTCGAAAAAGCCGGATAGATCGTCTTTGTTTCCGGCAGTCTCGCGGTAACCAGGGCGAGGAAACAAGCTCTAAAAGCACTCGACGAAGAGATGCTTTTAAGAGATTTTAAAAGATTTTAAAAGAGCGGAACCATCAATTTCTGAGCGAGCGTCACATCTTGTTAACTAACTAGGAACAATTAAAGGAACCTTTTAATCACAACAGATTTACGCAACGCACTCTCACTCTAGTAATTTTATTTCGAAATAAACTGGCCGCTTCTTTTTCACTTGCATCACACTTCAATTGCAAAGAACGGAAGTGGATATTTAAAAAATTAGAAAAACACAAAAATATATCTCGGTCCTTTTTAACTTCAACGACCCAACCCAACGTGCACCCACTCACCGATTCCGATTATTTATTTTTATTAATTTAAAATTACGTTCACCATACGTTCACGTTTAATTTACACGATGAAATTTAGACGCGATTTAGACGCGAACAAGAGAACATAAACAATGTCGATAAATGCCGCGTCAATAAACGTATCCACAACCGGAATAAGAGTAAAAATGCAACTGTGTGCCGCGATGCGCGACTCGCGATTAGCGCGATAGCTGGGCGCGAGTTTCTTTTGTTGGATGTAACAAATGTCGCAATCACGAGAAAATATCGAAGGCTGGGGCACACGATACCGTACAAATTGGCACTGGACGATTCATTAAAAAAAAAAAAATCCATTCCACGTACTTCACTGCGTCTAATAGAGGAAAAAAAAAAATATTGTAATTGTTTATTTTCAGAAGATATGAATGTTTTATGTGTCAAGGTAATACCGTATTGCTTGCAGATATAATCTGCAAGAATATTTACGAAGCATAAAGCATAAACGAAAAGACTACCTTCCGATCTTTTTGTGTGTAACTTTCAGCCTTAGCGCCTAGAGCGAGCTTCCAAGTCGAGTTCACTCAAGTTGGCAAAATTACGTAGGTAAATCCTATGTAAATCGAGCCCTAACAGTTCTATCGAACAGACATCCAGTGTTGATAAGAAATTTCACCTTGCTGCATTCCGCAAGATAATCGAAATGTCACTTGGAGTATAAGCCAGGAAAGGCCGCGGTTTTGTATTATATCATAATACAAAACTGTCAGCATTTTTATTGCGGCATGCGAACCTCGCCTTAGCAGAAATTATGTAAACCGTATTGAATAATTGCCGCGTCGAAGTTCTGCAATTCTCATAGATTGTTGGAGATTGCTTTTGCGTGCACTCGATGTGTTGATGACAATGGCACAGCTGAGGATGAATGGGAAAGACGCAGGTCGTTTATGGGTTTTTTTTTCTCTTTGTAACGACAGTTATGAGAATCCTATTGCCAAGCGTGACGAATGCAAAATAGTATCTCGAGCGGCACGGCGCTTTTGTCGGTCGCGACGAAAAAAAAAAAAAGCTAGACGAATCAGGTAAATGAGCGGGTAATTACGATCCGACAATCGGATTCTCACGAGAAGAAATCGTCTTACATTGCCCAACGAAAATAGAAAGACAATAAAGAAGACAGCTAATAGCTAAAATAGTATTTTCGAATGTAATATTAAAAGACGTGCTTGACGATTTTCAAGATAATTCCGTAAGACTTTCACAACAAATCTAAAAATATATGAAAATATTAATAAAAATTTCAAATCACCATTATATAGCGCATGTGTCGTACTTGTTAAGTTATTTGTTTTGTAAGAGATATACGTAAAGCCGAAAGATCTCGTTCTTCTTACAAGAAACAATCATTGTTTGCGATTTATCATTTCGTTACGTTAGCATATTTGTTTTTCCTTTCTTTTCCCATTTTACATATCTTTCGATCAACTCGCGCTCGCTCGTACATCACGGCTCGAAAAACAACTCGCGGCTAAGAAATAAACTTCCCTTTGTTTCCGCTGTGCTCGCGCGCGAAACGCAAAAACGGGGGT